TCATTGGTTGATTCTCGCATGTGCCTTGACCCGGGATTGAACCCGTAACCTTGGTGTATCAGGATGATGCTCTAACCAACTGATCTACCTGGCCAGGGTACTAATTGTAGCTTTACTGTGTGAAGATGTTTTTTAAAGTCAGAGGTTCAGCCATGAGTTTATATGCAGGCTGATCCAAAGGGTGCAGGGGACACTAAAACCAGGGATTCGTCAACTTGGTTTGTGATCCCCACTCTGCCACTGTTGAGCTGCATGGTTTGCAGTGAAATCGTGTTACCTGTCTTTGGTCTCTACCATGTCCAGCTGGTGTAGCGGAAACCAGGTAGGCTGTAGCGTCAACTATTAACCTGAGGTGGTTGTGACTTGACTTTGCCACTTACTATCCATGTGATCTTGGACATGTTTTCCGAATGCTATTTTAGTTCTTTGTAAAAAAGAGGGAAAATGATTCCAAACTCTCAGGGTTTTCAAGAATAAATGAAAAGAGGTGTTTCAAAGAGTTTTGTAGTGCTTGTTACCATAGGAACATAAATAAATATTTGTTGTCTCATCTCGAAAAATTGGTCTAGAATTCGATGTTTTCTAAAATATCTTTTACGGTAAAGTTTTATGATTCTTTTTAAAACAATTCTTGTTAAAACAATAATTTGGAAAACTTTTTATATAACAGCACTGATCTGAACTCGTGGGAGATCAGTGACGTGTTTTAAGTTTGTAAAACAGATGTTGACCATTTTTTTCTACCTGTTTCATATTCCATGCTGCTGGAATATGGAAATCTCAAATTTTAAGGTATATGAAAGATAGATACAGGTTTGAGTCTTTAAATGCCCTAGAGATCTGAGTAGATTTTCACCACTCTGCGAACTCTTTGAAATTATATGCAAAATGTTCAGTGCACCAGAATTGTAGTGAGGAGCTCCAGCTTTCATAGTGAACAGCACAGATATGACAGTTCTTGTCTCACATAGTCTGCATTCTAATAGGAGAATATAGACATTGAGTAAAAACATTAAAATATAAACCAGAAAATGCAACTTACAGATGATGGAGATGTTTGGTACAGAATTTAAATATAGTGATGGACCAGGGAGGGATTTAGAGGTTATTTTAGGGTTTTAAGTGGTCAGGGAGGTCTTCTGAGGAGTTGGCATTTTTGGTGGCTTCCATTATAAATGATAAAGGGCGGCCTCCAATACCAACATTAGACAGAGAGGCTAGTACTGGGTTGGCCAAAAAGTTTGTTTAGTTTTTTCCCCTACAGTGGCTGTGGGAGTGCTTAGTTGTCTTCAACTTCATTTGAAACAATTTCATACAGATTGTATTGTGACAGCTGTCATATCAGCATGCACTTAAAAAAAAAACTTATCAAAACTGGTGAATTTTTGTCCAGCCATTTTAATGTTGAAGCTAGAAGAAGGTATGCATCATTTTCAGTGTATTAAGCTTTATTATTTCAAGAAAGGTAAGAAACACAACTGAAATGTAAAAACAAAGTTGTACAGTGTGTGGAGAAGGTGCGATGACTGATGGGACGTGCCAGAGGTGGTTCGCGAAGTTTCTTGGTTCTCTGTCAACATTCTGGTCAAACAACTCTTTGCTGCGGGGCCGTCTCATGCACTGGAAAATGGTCAGCAGCACCCCCGGCCTCTACCCACGGGAAGCCAGTAGCAGGAGATAGCCGACATACTCAGAATACCCACATCAATGAAGTTATTGGCGAAAAATGGAAACGTGTCTGTTATTTTATGGAAAAAATGTAACAGACTTTTTGACCAGCCCAGTACTGATGTTCTGTGATGGGACTAAGCTTCACTCGAGCAGCTGGAGAGCAATGGGGTGACGGGGACAAGGGTTAGAAGAAGTTGGAGAGCTGAATTACAGGTCATACCACGTAGGGCTTTGTAAACCAGAACAAGAAATCCCAAGTTTATTCCGAATGCACTAGGAAGCCATCTCAGATCTTTAGCTAGAGAACGAGAAAAGGAAACTCGAGACAGAGGCGTGATGACTCCAGAATTTGGGAACCAAGAGACCAGAAGCGCAGCCAGTGAGCTGGGAAGGCTGCTGAGGGGAATGCTGTGGCTCCCTGACCCCTTTAAGAGGGAGGGAGGAGTCCTCTTGTCCTATCTCGTTGAGAAGACAGTTACCTTCAGAACAATGACCTGACCATCAGATTTGGCAACAAGCTTGCCAGAAGATTAGAGTTACTGTGAAGTCAGTAGCTAGTAGGGAATGCAGCTAGGTGACATTGGTTTTTAAATGAAACTGCAAGTAGTTCTTCCTTCTTTAAAGTTAACCTTTAATCTATGGGTGGTGATACAGTTAAGAGTCTGAGCCAGAGTATCTGGGTTAATATCACACCTCTATTTCTCTTTAGCTTGCTCAGCCTGTCTAAACCTCCATTTTTACATCTGTAAACAGGGTACCATAATTGCCTGCTCTTTATTTATTTATTTGTTTAAGATTTTATTTATTTATTTTTAGAGAGGGAAGGGAGGGAGTAAGAGAAACATTAATGTGCGGTTGCTGGGGGCCATGGCCTGCAACCCAGGCAGGTGCCCTGACTGGGAATCGAACCTGCGATGCTTTGGTTCACAGCCCAAGCTCAGTCCATTCAGCTACTCCAACCAGGGCAATTACCTGCCCTTTATAGGTTTGCTCTATGTAAGGCATTTAGCTCAGTATGTGGCACTTAGTCGTATAACTAGCCAAGATTATAATGGTGTGTGGCAAAATATTTATCATTTGTGTTCTTTGGGGTTTGTATAGTTTATAGTGTTTAAGGGAATGAAGCAATGTGTTTTATCTTAACTTTATGATCAGCGAATGCCAAATTCTCTACAGGCCATACTAGTAAACAGCAAGGAACCATTAACTGTACTTTCCAGGGATTGACGTCTGGACTAGCTCCTTTATTGGTGTTAATATGAAGCCATGCTAATCTAGAGAAACGTTCATGTGGATGATACTTTAATCAGCGTCAGCAAACATTTTCTGTCTGATAGCCAGTTCTTGTGTTGAGTATTGTGTCCTCCAAACGCTCACCTTTTCTCGTTCTCTCTTTTGGAGCATTCTGCAGCCCCATGCACAACTGTGGCATTTGCCTTTACTCTTCAGTAGCGTAACCAGAAGCTGTATTGTCTCTTTTTAGCATTCCAGGGGATAGTCTCAATTTATTAAGTAGTAATAATTTCATATAAACATACTTGTAGCTACTCATCATCTATTTTATTAAAAGTATAATTGGGGGGTGGCTGGGGGGAGGGGAGCATAAGGGGGAAAATTGGGACAACTGTAATAGCATAAACAAAATACTTTTTAAAAAAGAAAGTATAATTGAAATATAGAAATCAAAATTTGGGCAATCCCTTTATTATTTGTTGTTATTGCAAGGGCCTTTTGAACACACATGCAGATAACTTTTAGATCTTGAATGTGAAATTAATGTGGTGACTGCCTACTAGAGCATTAAGTGTTTTTACATTGTCCATGTGTCTGGTAGCACGCTGCACCAAAACCCAGACAAAACCGAGGTTGCTCAGAGGACAGATGTCATGACTCTGCTGTTTCACTGTTTCTCCATCAGTTCAGGCAGAGCCTGGCACGTAGCAGCACTTAGTTAAATATTTGCTGGATGAGTGGATACAAGTTTTGTATTCCTAGAAACTGTTCTCATCAATAATGGGCTTGCACTTAAGGTGGAGTCATTTTAATAAAACATTAATTAAACAAAATACTTGAAGAGTACAATGTGTAGATTACTTTTCAAGTTAATTACACTTAAATAAGATTTTTAAAATCTTTGTAAGTAGTCTCTGCTGAGCATAAACAAATCTTTTGGAATTTGTAATACTGTTACTTTGCTGCTTAGTGCATCTGCTCTCATTTTTAGACACTGCAGTCAGAGTAAGTGTAATAGGCATTGTTTGAGATACGTGCCAGACATTTCTGGTAGGGCTTCATACTCAAAGGAAATTTCTGTTACACATAGGTGACGAGTTTTGTGATTTGGCTTTTATCCTCCACCAAAGAGAGGGTAGACAGGGAAAACTGATTGTATGTGTGTTCTGGTGAGTTATACTTACTCTGTCACTCTTAAAGTCGGGAGCTTTAAAGAAGTATCCTGAGTGAATAATGCTGACCACGGTGTTCTTAACACAGCACCCTGTAGCAGTGGGTACAGGTCGTGCCTGGGGCTCGGTGATAATCTACTCGTAAGTTAAACTTTGAAGAATGTCTAGAACCCTTAAAAATAAACCCTAAAAAACCTGGTCTCTTTTTCTCTCATTGCCCACACCACATTTGATGATGAAGTATTTTAAGGCAGTTTTTCTCTTAGGCCAATTTTTTAACCAAAAAAAAAAAAAAAACCAAACCCTCTTAATAGGAGTGTACAGATCCTAAGTGTAGAGCTTGATGAACTTTCACAGATGAACAGATCCGTGCAACTGGTGTACAGAGCGAAAACCAGAATATTGTTAACCGCCGTAAAAAGGCTAAGGTTTAGACCCTGGCTGGGCAGTTCCGTTGGTGAGAACGTTGTCCCAGTACATGGAGGTCGCAGGCTCAGTCCCCAGTCGGGGCACACGGAGGAACCCACCAATGAACCCGTGGGTCAGTGGACCAGCAAACTAATGTCTGTCTATCTCTCTGTCTCCCTCGCCAAATCAATGAATTTTTAAAAGGCTAACTTTTAAATATAAAACAACCATAGATTTAGATAAATTTGAGAGACTTAGTCCTGGTTCTTTTTAATTTTATTACTAACTTCAAGGGTCACTTTAGGCAAGTTACTTCATCTTCTGGGGTCTGTCCCCAGTCTTTAAACTGCGGGGCTGAGGCCAAGTGTTTTGTTACGGCTCTAGTTATGTAAAAGTGCAAAGAGAAGGACTGCGGTGGCATAGCTGTGGTACAAAAGGCTGTGGGTAGTGGGATGAGAGGGCACAGTTTAATGTAAAAAGGAGGACTCATTTTTTTTCTTTTTCTTTGTTTTCCAGGTTATATTTCACACTATGTGCTGACTGTATCTACAGAAAATATTTAAAAAAAGATAAACTTTTTTCAAAGATTTTTGATTCCAGTGGAATCTTTGCTTTAGATATTTGTGTGTGTGCGTGTGTGTGTTAGTGAATTGTAACTCCAGAAGCAATGCCTGTACAAGCTCCACAGTGGACGGATTTCCTTTCCTGCCCGATTTGCACTCAGACTTTCGACGAAACAATTCGAAAGCCCATCAGTTTGGGTTGTGGCCATACTGTCTGCAAGATGTGCCTGAATAAACTCCACCGCAAGGCTTGCCCTTTCGACCAGACCACTATCAATACAGACATTGAGCTCCTCCCGGTGAACTCGGCATTGCTGCAGCTAGTGGGTGCTCAGGTATGGTGTGTGACCTGTGACACCTTGTAATTTCTCTCTCTCTCTCCCCCTGTGTTTCCTTGCTGAGAAAAAAATGGTCGAATTAAAACTGGGTAGCGTTGCCCTCTATTTAAAAAGAGTTCTGTTCAGTCCCGTGCAAGCCCTTTATTTTGGTCTGTTAGGAGAGTTAGGTGGTGGCCCCGTAAGTCCTGTCATGTGCAGTAACGATATGGTGGTTAGGCTTTCTCAGCAGTCTTCGCTGTTCAGATTGCTAGCGCAACCTGAGGAATAGTCCCAAGGACCTCTTAGGAGGAAAATACTCTTCATAAAACCATTGCATTTTACTTAACAAGAAAAGTGAAGCTGCTTGAGAATTTAACTTTGTAGACACTAACAGAAATGAAAGATGAAGAAGGGAACGAAAACTGAAGCTCATAGCCTTTGGGAGCCCGGTGTCTAGAGCAGGAGCAGACGACCCTGGGTGCCTATCAAAGCAGTGTGGTAACTCTGAAAGTAGTACTCTGAAAGTTTTATGTCAGTGTTCTCAGACTAGAGATCCATGATATCCTCAGAAGGTTTCACAAAGCCAGGAGAGGCCGTTTTTTTGAGAGCTACATGTGATTCACTTAAATAATCCCTTACTAGGTTCATTTGCATAATGTGAGTCTGAAGTACCATCTGGTTACCGTGAATTATTATCTGGATAAATATATTGGAACTTGGAATCTAACCCTACTGCTACCTTGCTAAAAGCTGCCATAAAACAGAGGAGGTCAATATTGTGTGTGTTGGAGATAAAGAGAACAGTTCTTATCAAAAGGTGTCACCGACAATACCACAAAACATTTGTCAGAGGGGAAAGTACAGCTGATTGTTTTTCTTTTCTTCCTGTACTTTTTATTTCATAATCACTTTTCTTTTCATTTTGAAAATTCCAGTATGACATTTAGGAAACATTTTTAAAAATTGACTTATTAGGAGGTAACAATTTGTGGAGAATACAATTAGGAGAAATACAATATTTTAATGACAAATAATCAAGGCTTACTTGTTTTCCTAAACATATTTGAGAATGAACTGATTCTGTTTCTACCGAATGAGTAAGGCCTTGTCATATGTTTCTCTTTTCATCGAATTTCCTGGGGTGGCCCTGGTTAACAAAATTATGCAAGACCTTCTATGTCTTAACAGAAACAGCTAATGTTTGTGAAATTTCAAGGATAGAGAATAGTATGTATTTTAACACAAAGATTTCCGTCTAAAAACTGGTAGAGCTAATAAGTTAATTAAACAAAGTTGTAGGATATACAATCAACAAGCAAAACTCAGTTGCATATCTATATACTAACAGTGAACAATTAAAAAAGAAATTAAGAAAACACTTGCACTTACGGTAGCATCAAAAAAGAATAAATTTAGCAAAGGAGGTGAAAGACGGGTGCCCCGAAAACTACCAAACACTGCTGGAATTTAAAAAGATGTAAATAAGTGGAAAGACACCCTGTGCTCACGGCGGGGCAGACTTCGTGTGGGGAAGCTGGAATACGACCCAAGGTGATCTGCGGATTCAGCGCAAGCTCTATCAAAATCCCAATGGAGTTCTTTTTTTCTTTCAAAAACAGACAAGTTCATCCTAAAGTTCACATGGAACCACACTTTCTGATATTGAAACTGCAAAGCTCGAGTGGTCGAGTGGGTGTGGCGCTGGCATGAAGACGAGTTTAGATCGGTGGAACGGAATAGAGGGTGCAGAAACAAACCTGTGTGTGGTCAGATGGTTCTTGACACGGTTGCCAAAACCATTCAGTGGGGAAAGGACAGTCTTTCCAACAAGTGGTTCTGGGAAGACTTGATACCCAAGTGTGAAAGAGTGAATTGGGATCTCTGCCTCAAACCGTGTACAAAAACTGACTCCAGGTAGATCAAAGGGTCCATTGTAGGAGCTAGCACTACAAAACCTTGGAAGGAATGTAGGCCTGCATATATTGGTGACCTTTGAGTAGGCAGTAGTTTTTTAACTGTGAAACCAAAAGCACAAGGCAAAAGATAAATTAAACTAAATCAAAATTTAAAACTTTGTGCTTCAAAGGACATTGTTAAGAGAGTGAACAAAACAACCCACAGAATGGGAGAAAATAATTGTAACTCATCTGTCTGGTAAGAAACTTGTGTCTAGAATATGCAAAAAGCTCTTGCAACTTAATAAAAAGAACATAATTTTAAAATAGGCAAAGATCTGAAGAGACACCTCACCAAAGGAGACATAGGGATGGCAGGTGAACAAATAAATGAGCTCAGCATCATTTGTCATTTAGAGTCGCAAATTAAAACAATGAAATGCTACTGCACATCAGTTAGAATGCCTAAAATCTAAAACACTGACACCACCAAATGCTGGCGAGGCTGTGGAACAACAGAAACTCATTTATTGCTGGTGCGAGTGCGAAATGGTGCAGTCATTTTGGAAGTTCCTGTATGATTCTATGAATCTGTTTATCTGGAGTGTCCAAAATAGGCAAATCCATGGAAACAAAATATTGATAGGTTAGTTTTTCTGTAGGGCTGGTGGGGGTTGGGAAGGAATAGATGGTAGGGGCGGCAGTTAAAACAGCATGGAGTTCTTTAAGAATCCCGTAAATTTAGCCCTGACTGGTATGGCTCAGTTGGTTGGGCATCATCCTGCAAAACCAAAGGTCTCCTGTTGGAGAGACAACTGATTTTCTCTTTCTCTTTCTCTTTCTCTTTCTCTTTCTCCCTCCCTTCCCCTCTCTCTAAAAATTAATAACATCTTTAAAGAATAAAAACCATTCAGTACATTCACTGGGGGTTCTGATGTTACCGGGGTCAGTGGCAGTGCACGTGCACACTCGGCACCGCTGTTGTGTGGTTGCTTCGTGAGCATGAAGGAGACCTTTTCTTTTGGCCTCCAGGTCCCTGAGCAGCCGCCCATTACTCTGTGTAGTGGGGTGGAAGATACAAAGCATTATGAGGAAGCCAAGAAGTGTGTGGAAGAATTAGCATTGTACCTGAAACCACTCAGCAGTGCTAGAGGTAAGTGGGATGCAGTTGTCAATGCCAAGCCAGTGTTTATTAAATGCATGTTAATGAGATTCATTTATTTATTGTAAACCAGACTCACTGGTCCTAAATGATGTCATTGCAAACCGCACCAAATACAGTAGTGAGTGAGGGTCTAGGTGATGTTGGAAACATTACTCAAATGAGATGCAGAAGAAAATCCGAGTGTAAATGCAGTAACGGTTTCAGAAGGGCTCGCTAGCATTGGACAGCTCTGAATCGTCTGCCCGCGATTCCCTTTTGTACGGCGTGCTGCAGGGGGTGTAGTGGCATTGGAAGGTGATAGTGGTGTCTGGCCATCACAGCCTGTTATCACCGGGAAGGTAAGAGTAACCACTAGGAACCAACGTGCCAGAACTGTCACGACCTCCAGGTGTGGATCTTCAACTAAGTGTCATTGTCTGGCCTCTCGATCCTTATTTCTCCATGATTAAAATAAGTAAGAGTATATTTAATGTCATGAATATTCACACGAGGTAACTGCTTTTGTGTGCCTCTAAAAATGCCTCACTTGTGTAATTGTATTGCTCACTTTAGATATCCTAGCAGAACCCAGAACTGTTCATATACCCATACGTCAATCAGCCCATCAGAGGAAGTTTTCCTGGCCTCTGAGTTTGCCTTGTAAACCGAGGAATGACTTTCTGCTCTCTTTTAAAGGAGTGGGTCTGAACAGCACGACTCAGAGTGTTCTGAGTCGCCCGATGCAGAGGAAGCTGGTGACTCTGGTCCACTGCCAGCTCGTGGAAGAAGAGGGCAGGATTCGTGCCATGCGGGCAGCCCGGTCTTTGGGCGAACGGACAGTTACAGAGCTCATCCTCCAGCACCAGAACCCTCAACAGCTCTCTTCCAATCTTTGGGCAGCAGTCAGGGCCCGGGGCTGCCAGTTCCTTGGACCAGGTATAGAATTAAATTTTATGGCTGCTCTGCTAGTAATTCTAAAAGTGTGGTGTAGGAACTAGAAATATGTACGGAGGCTAGTTCATTGCAGATTCTACTGTTATCAAACAATATCCCATTTGATAATCATGGCTTGGGTAATTCCATGTTAGTTTTTCAGAGCTCTTAAACTTCCCTTAATGCCAAAGTTTGTTCATATTGATAGAAGTTTTTCTTAAATGTATTAACTTTTTATCTGCTTTCCTAAATAAAATATACAGAATGTAATACAAAAATGCCCCCCAAGCTTAAAAGTCTAACTGTGACTATCTGTTACTGTGTTACCTGTGTATCAGGTGATACCTGCAAAAATGACTGAATTTTGCCCCTCTGATAAGGGGATTTGTCTTATCCCTGCATGAGATAAATTTGGGGTTTGCCCATCTTTTCCTAGCAATGCAGGAGGAAGCTCTGAAGCTGGTTCTCCTGGCCTTAGAAGATGGCTCTGCTCTGTCCAGAAAAGTGCTGGTTCTCTTTGTGGTGCAAAGGCTGGAGCCTCGGTTCCCGCAAGCCTCCAAAACTAGCATTGGGCATGTTGTCCAGCTCCTTTACCGGGCCTCCTGCTTCAAGGTACGCACTCCGCCCCACTTCCGCCAGAAGGAAGCACTGCCCTCTCCCAAGCAGGTAGACGGCTCGGGGTTTAATCAAGGTGCCTGAGTCTTTTCAGAAAATTCAGTTTTTCTTGTAAAGAATATATATAGTGTCCTATTAAAGTTAAATCTTTTTATATTAAATTTGGATGTTAGATATTGAACAATATAGATCAAACCAAGCCTCAGAGATTTTTGTGTTTGGAGAGACTAATAAGCTGTGTCAGTTTTCCACTGAGATACAAAGAGAAATGTTCGGAACGGAGAGAGCCGCTGAAGCAGGAAATGAGCTGTATTTGGCCGTTTGTTCCGAGACGGCTCCACGCGCAGGGTCCTGGGGCTCCAGGTGCCGTTCGGGTTCCCGGATGGGGAGTGATGCCGGGCAGACTCCTTCGTGTTCCAGATCGGCTCCGGGCTGCTTCCCACACCGGTGCCCCTGTCTCATTTACTGTTCATCTCGCTTTCCTGACTCCTAATGTCAAGGCTTCTGGCTTCTGATACAACCCATAACCCATAAGTGCTGCGTGGACCAGGGAGGCATGTCTCCAAACTGTTGTTAATTCGCCCAAGCAACGTGGAAATCCATTCCTAAGTCACCCCATTCCTTCATCTGACACTCAAACTAAAAAACAAACAAACAAACAAAAAAACTGACATTAACCATCCTGTTAAATTCTGTTCTCTCATTTTTTGAAAAGAATAAAATGGCCCACAAAATGAACAGGAGAGTATACAGAATTAATGTTAAAAATTTATTCATTTTAAAAATTAATGATTGATTTTTAGAGAGAGGGGAATGGAGACAGGGAAAAAAAGAAAGAAACAGCCATCTGTCTTTCCACCTTTCTGCATTCATTGGTTGATTCTTATGTGTGCCCTGACCTTGACACAAGGGGATGGTACTCTAGCCAGCTACCTGTCCAGGGCAAGAATTTTTTTTAAAGCTCTATCTAAAAGCCAACCTTATTCTCTTCGTAGAGTCAGATTATTTACTAAAAATGAGGTGTGGACTTCAGGTGTGTGCCCATCCCTGTCACTTTCCTTAGGTACCTCTGGAGCGGTCAGAGCCTTAAGCTACAATAACTCCAGCTGGTCCTGATTGTCCCTAAATAAGGCACATTTGTTGTAAGTGCTGTAACAACACAATTGTGTACTAGAGCCCAGAAGCCACTTCAGAATGTCTGTCTGCTTCAGCGTGGCTTGTTCTCCGGGAACAGCCCCAGGCAGGTACAATGCGGGAAGCTTACAAAGGATGGGAAAGCCCGCCTTCCCCTGCGAGGAACAGCAAGGGGCTCAGGAACCCACCTAGGTGCCCACCAGGTGAAATTCTTGATCCTAATTAAAAGCATTAAAAGTAATTTTTAAAAAGATTGGACATTGTAAATGCACTTATTTTTAACTTGGATCATGATTATTTCCCTTTATTTCATTGTCCACCTACTTTATTCTCTTGGTGTGGTTCATACCACACTCTCACCCGCAAAGAGACTTACCTCCTCATATTGCGCTAGGTCCACACCCTGACCTTCACTCGCTGTGGCAGAGTGTGTGCCAGTGCCCATTTCGTCTTCCTCGTGGGACTCAGGCCGGGCTCTGGTCCCCACTCTGCCTTGCAGGGGTACGGTTCATCCAGCTGCATCCAGCTGTGTCCTTCCAGCATCTCTCGCTTCCATTTGAGCAGCTTTTCCAGCTGCAGGACAGTTCTGGTGGTTCTCAGCACAGCACAGTTGCAGGACTTCAGACGTTGCCTCTCCTGGAAACCCTGGATTGTTTTTAGTTACAGAAACTTTTGAGAGCCGAGTCCAGGGAACCCCAGTATGTCTCGTAGAAAGCCCAGTCTACACGTTACTGAGGGTTAGCCTCCGTTGAGGAGGTGTTCTCACACATATGCATATGCATTTGGTCTTTTGACTTGCTTTTTAATAGTGGTGAAATATGTTTCTTTTCTGTAACTGTAGTTCTTTATTTATTTATTTACTTGGTCTTTCTATGGACTTGCCTAACGAAATTTAAGTTCAATCTTCTTGTAATAAGAATGGAATGTGCTTTCAAATATTGTATCAGTATGACCTAGAAGTCTTGACTAAAACATTTTGTAGCTTCTTTGATGGAAATTTTCTGCTAGAGGAATTTGAGTCCTAAAAGGTTGAGTCCTAGGCAAAGTATGTTCTAAAATGTGTTAGGATGTAAGGTGATCCTAGACAAGAATAAATTATTTTACTTTGATATGTTAAGAATTTGGGCTAAACCCAGCTTGACTTAAAGTGTGAATTACTGGGTATGAGAACAATAGCATCTACCTCAACAAGTTTGGAGAATTAAATGGGTTAACACTTCCATATGACAGTTGGTCAGGTAGCTTAATACATTGACTGGCACATGCTAAGTGCTCAATAAGTGTTAATTATTTTAATTACTAAACGATATTATTACCGTTACCATCATTGTTATAGTTCAGCATCTCAGAATTTACACTTTCTGTTGGTGGCTCACCCTACAAATCTCTGAGGAGAATTAAGCCACGTAGAATTAGTGGCTTATTCATCTTGAGAATCACACCAGTATCCAAAGCTGCAGTTAGGAGTACCAGCTAGCTCAACACCAGGCAAACCCTGCAGTGGTACTCCACAGTTACGGAAAGCAAATGTACATTGTTTGTCAGAATAATTGCACTTGTATTAGTATTTTTTTTTCACTAATGCATAATATACGCACACACAGTTTAAAGCGCACTATGTGTTAAGGTCTGTTCAGTCTTTGGATTTGTTCCAGCACATGCTCCTTCCAGAAGATTTTGACATCAATAAAAGGGAAATGTTTTATTGGCAAAAGGCTGTGCTCCATTTTAATCTTGCTGTTGTTACCAGAAGAAATTTGTTACATTAAAAATTATCGGTTATCTGTAAAGGCCCTTACAAAGTATCAGCCCATTTTGTTCTTTCTCTGACTCACGATGAGATCCTGTGTGCCCAACAGGTCACCAAACGCGACGAAGACTCTTCTCTGATGCAGCTGAAGGAAGAATTTAGAACCTATGAAGCGCTGCGGCGAGAGCACGACTCCCAGATCGTGCAGATAGCGATGGAAGCAGGCCTGCGCATCGCGCCAGACCAGTGGTCCTCGCTGCTGTACGGAGACCAGACCCACAAGTCTCACATGCAGTCCATCATTGACAAGGTAGACCTTTGTTGTTCCTTCTTCTCGGGCTGGTCCTGGGGTGTCGGTAGTTCGTGATCCGGTAACTCTCTTATTTGAGCAGTGTGTGTTAGAGGGCGTACTGCGCGTCAGACTCCTTGTGAGGTGTGTGCTCTCTAGTCGGGTGGCGTGTCATAGCTAGTCGCATCGTATGCCAGTTTGTTCACATAAAGACTGTTTCAAATTGAGGGATAATGGGCATCGTTCACACAAGATTGGATGGGCGTCGTGAGGCTCTGTCCAGTGTGTGCTCGCTCGTTTCTCTGAGAGGCTCTCGTCTCTCACATCGTTGCCTCCCTCCTTGCACTGCTCCCTGAGTCCTGTTCACTGCGTTAGTTAAACCCGTTGTCTAAACGCCTTTATTGTCTGCTTGCAGCAGCCACCTATGGCCTGGAAGATGTTCACATAGAGGTTTCCTATATTCTCAGCCAGAAAAATGTCACCTAAGTTACCAGCCATTCTAAATTTGACCACATTTTCAGTAAACTTACTTCTCTACTTTATCTGTTGTTTGTTATGATGAAAAAATCAGTAGAGTATACATGAATTTTAGGTCAGCCTCCATTATTTCTGACTCTAAGAGCTATTTTTAATTTTCTTAAAATAGGAGCATACTAAGAAAAAACTGGAGTGTACTATAAATGTGTTCTAATTCAATATGAAATATATGAACGCACTATAAAAAAGCCTTAGAATGCCATGTAAATATATTATGTTCAGTCATAGTATTTAATTTTTACTGTTTTACCTTACATACTTATAACCATAGAGATTATGTACTGACCTTTATAGAGTCCACCCTACCATTAATTGGGAGAAATAAGGTCAGGATGTTGCCCTGATATTTAGCACTTACTGAGAGCTGCCTGGGTGCGTTCCCGATGGTTTAAAGAATGCATTCGTGTATTCCTCGCAGCAGTCCCGTTCGATCCTTTTCGTATAGAGGCAGAGAGGTTAAGGACACTCCTCCCGAGACAGACCTGGGTTTGAACCGGGGTGCTCTGACTCTAGCATCCATGTTCATAACCACTTAACCAAACTCAACCCACAGCTCGTAGGTCTAAAATTATGCAACTGACTGATTGTAACATATCGAAACCCTAGTGATGATCTCTTAAAAAAGTAGCTTTCTGAACAATAATTAAAATAAAATAAAATTAAAAAAAGAAGTAGCTTTGTACTGCTAAAGAGAATCTTGACTTCTTTTACAAAGATTCTACAAGGAAGTTGGCCTTATTGTCTGAACTGAACTATGTAACTAGGTGTATGTTCTGTAATAATTTTCTCACATTATGAGCAAGAATTTGAACTTACTATCCAGAGACCTTCATACAGCAAACTGATAAACATGCTTTGCAGGGTATGGGATGCATTACCATTGTATAGAGCAGTAGAACTTGCTGTGATAATAGGATGTTCTGTATATGCACTGTCCAATACGGTGATCACTGGCCACATGTGGTATTTTCTTAATTGATTTTTGAGGTGTGGGGAGGAAGGGAGAGACACAAAAAGCAACATCGCTTTTTTGTTCCACTTATCTATGTGTTCATTGGTTGTTTCTTGCACATGCCCTGACCGGGGATTGAACCCTCGACCTTGGTGTGTGGGGATGGTGCTCTCACTAACAGAGCTAGCTGGCCAGGGCTCACACATGGTTATTCAGCAACTGAAATGTGATTTATGCAACTGAGGAACTAAAATTTTTAATTAATGTAAATAGCCACGTGTTGCTAATGGCTACTGTATTGAACAGTGGGAATATTTATTAAAATTGATAAGAAAAGCAATAATCCTAGTAAATTAATAGACAAAGAAACATGAATTAACAATTCACAAAGGAGAAGTATATCTAGTTGACTGGGTAGAGTTCAGCCTCAATAGTAATTAAATACACATTTAAAACAGTGACAAATCAAATGTTGCCTGTTTAATTAGTAAAAGAAACATATGCTCATACATTGCTGATGGCTTGTAAAATGCATTACAGATCTTTGGGGGAGCTCAGTGAATAAAAATTCAAAATATTCATGTCCTTTGACCAAACTTAGTATTCCTAATAATTTATTTTAAGGAAATAATCTAAACTTGCACAAAGGTTATGAGATCGAAAGAATTAATTGCTATATTATTTATAAAGAAAATGAGGGGATGGTTAAAAAAGTTAAGAGCTATCTACTCAGAACACCGTTTTAGGGCCATTAAAATTACAGTTATGTCAGAACAGATACTTTCTGTAACTAATAAATAGTATTTCATTTCTTTTAGAAAAATTAGTGAAATATTTTAATTCTTTGTGGTAGATACAGGGGTATTGTTATTATATCAGATACTTACTTTTGTGGATATCAAAATGTTTTGTTATATCAAATGTAGCCAAAACCGTAATTTTATAAACTGATTATAACTAGGTAAAAAAGGTGTACAGATGAAAAAAATTAAATATAGGTATGTCAGCATTCTAGTAGTAATATTATTTTTCATGTCTTTTAAAATGTATGCTTTTAAAGAAAAATTATCTTTTATAGAGTGACCTTTTGTGAGGGAAATATTCTCATCTGTGTTAATGAACAGTTAATTTTTCCAAGTATAGACCCTCAGTTATTATGACATAATCAATCTTTTTTCCTATCAAAGGTCATATATGGGCAACATAAGGAAGTTAATGCATTAAGCCTTAGGAAAATATACAACCTGGTGGATTCTAAGAATCCCAAACTGAATTAGGATTTTTGGGAGTTACAGTGGACTTTGTAAATTATTTAGTCCATAGAGCACATGTACTTCAGGCTGAGTCTGTAAAGGTTATAGCCAGTGTCATGATCTTTCCTCTATAAGAGAACTTGAACTCCAACTCCAACTGAGTTCAGTTTCATGGTTCTTGCCTTTGTATAGCATTATCTCTAGACTGTATTTCCAAACTTCAGTTATTTGGAAGGGTCCCAAGAGCCAGACTGTGAGAACATAAAATGGGAGGAGTACTTCCTAGCCGAGAGCCAGGAGCGTTCTCCCCGTGAGGACTGGCGGCAGAGGGCATACGCCAGGCTCTGTAGCCGCAGAGAAATGCAGGGTTCGCCCAGGTAGCAGCAGGTAATCCGGTCTGGCCAAAGCATGGGATGTGCAGGAGGATAAAGATTAAACTTAATAAATTGCAAAAATGAGTGTGAGTATTGTAAATAATCTTTATTTTAAAGGGATTATCTGGCCTTTGGGGAAGTTAATATTTTTCTTTTTTAAGTTGCAGACTCCAGCCTCTTTTGCACAAAGTGTTCAGGAACTAACGATTGCTCTCCAGCGGACTGGAGACCCAGCAAACTTGAACCGCCTGAGGCCCCATTTGGAGCTACTAGCGAACATCGACCCTAGTCCAGGTAAACCAAGGGAAACTCCTGGGCTGTGTCCTCCGCGTGCCCCGGTGCTGCTCCGTGGTGTTTTAATTATTCCTTGTTACAGTCTTCTAGAATTTCCCAAAATGGTTATTTCAGGGTTTTTTCTACAGTATTGTAAGTTTCTGGCTCCAGCCTTCTTCGTCTGTGTTATTACTTCAACTAATTGTTACTTAATACTTTTTACTCTGCTGTTCATAGATTCTCTCTCTCTTTTTACACTTCCTTTTTCTCACTGTAAAGGTGTGCTGTATTTAACCATTCTCAACTCTTGACAAAACTCAAGTTTTCTCCTTTTTCTAAATCATATGTCATTAGTTGTATTTTTGGTCCCATTTTTTTCCCGTTTTCAGTCCCTTTCCTATCTCTCCTTCCTGACCTGAAAGTCACCCAACCTTCAATTTTCTCCTCATACTTCATCTGAGACATGTTGGCTTGTGTATTGCAGTTCCTGTGTATATTCCCACTACTGAACTAAAACTCTCTTTCTTTTTACAGATTTTTTGTTTATTTTTAGAGAGAGGCGGAGGGAGGGAGGAAGGGAGAGAAACATTAGTGTGTGGTTGCCTCTCATGTACCCCCACCACCACCACCAGGGACCTGGCCCACAACCCAGGCAGATGCCCTGACTGGGAATCAAACCAGCGATCCTTTGGTTCGCTGGCCAGCTCTCAATCCACTGAGCTGCACCGGCCAGGGCTGAATTAGGACTCTTAACATTTACTATTAATTTCCAATTTTCTAATTACAAAAGCTTCTCTCGGTCCTTACATACCTTGATTGGTCCTCAGCATTTGATAATGTTGACTACTCCCTTGATACAGGAACTCTTGTAATAGCGTATAGGTGATATCTGTCGTCTTACGGTTATCTTCTGATCTGTCTAAATGCTGTTTCTGTCTTATTTTGACCATTCTCTCCCCTCCTGCCCGCCAAGGAGCAGGATGGCTGTGTTCTGGAATCGTGCGTGCTCCGTCCTCTGTGGGTGATGGTCGCCCATTCCCCGTGCCGCTGTTCTCTCCTCGTAGACAGCAGACCCCAGATGTCTGCGTCACTGCTCTGTCTCACCACTCCAGGCCCCGTCCCAGATGCCTCCTGGACGCGCCGTCGCCTCCTCGCCCCATCTTCGCTGCAGGCCTGCTCTTCCTCCTGTGCCCTCTGTGAATGGCCCGCTCTCCAGGAATGCGAGCTCAAAACCCGAGTCTCTCTTGTTACTTTCCATCTGTTCCTTTCCCCTGCTCCACCTGCCATTCCAGATGACAGGGTCTGTCTGTTCTCCTTCCACTCGGTCCCTTTGTCCCTGCCGGTCAGTGCTGCTCCGGTGAGGAGGGCCTCAGGCCTCTTCCTGAGACAGCATGCCCTCCACTCCGCCCACTGGGCTCAGTTCCGCCTCATGGCTTTCAGCGGCACCCCAGTGCTCGCAGGATGACGGTTAGTGCTCCTGAACGTGGCACTCAGCACTCTGACTTTTTACCAGCCCACCTTTGTGGATTTGCCACCAAAACTGCTTAACAAATCAATCAGAGCTATTCCTAGAACACGTGGTTTTCCTCACTTTTGTGCTCTGATCACTGAGCAACGGGAAGAGCACTTCACAGTCTCGCCACCAGCTCGAGTCTGAGCGATCGTCCTGTGCTCCTGCTGCGAGCGCGGATAAACTGTGCCGCAGCTGAGGCTTCCCCCCACCCCCTCTTATGTGCCGGTGTCGTCTTGTCAGGTCTGTCCTTCCCGCATCTCTGTCTCTTACCGCCGGTTTTCCGTCTCTGCTGGAGTCTGCCAGCCTGAAAACATACCGTTACTCCTCTCGTCGTAACACGCTTCTGACACCGCCTGCCATCCGCCTACCACTCCTCTTCTCTCCTTTTTTATAGCCCTTGAACTTACTGCAGTCAGGAATTTATCTCTGCCACGTAATCCGATCTGCTTTTGTCGAGGTGACAAGTGACTTCCATGTAGCAAACTCCAAACATCAACTGTTGGTACTTATTGTGTTTGGCTTGTTAGCAGCATTTACCATTGTTGTTTATTCTGCTTCTTATGACACTTTTTTCACTTGGCTTCCATGCCGCCGCTCTCTCCTAGTTTACTTCTTTCTTTATTCCATCCTCCTCCTCAGCCTCCTTGGCTGCTTCCCCCTCTTCTCCACAGCTTCTAGTCAGTCTGCCCCCTAGCGTCCAACTTTCGGAGTGCCCCCAGAGTTAATTCTTGTATCTCTTCTGTTTTCTGTTTACTCTCATTCCCTAGAGTATGCTTTAAATGTTATCTAATCATCATTTAAAGTCTCATGGCCTTAAATATTATTTATTGTATTTAAAGTCTCATGGCCTTAAATATCATTTATATAACTCATGAATTTATTATATCTCATTAGTTTTGAAGCCCACAGTTCTATTCAGATCTTAGCACTTCTGAAATTAGGATGCCTTTGTTGTACAAGCAGCGGAATGTGGTAGTTTGGTTAGTAATCTTTAACAGAATTTTTCGGCACATAAAACAATGGTGTGTGTGTGTGTTACAATTGGCGGCAGTTTAGAGTCTGTGCAACAAACAGTGTATCCAGGCCAGACCTTCTTCCAGAACTGTTTTTGAATATCCACCTGCCGGCTCAGTAGCCATCATTCCAGCCTCTACCTTGAATATCAGATAAGAATTCCCAACTGAATCAGTTGAAAAGTGAGGTCCAGACCCCCGCCCCACCCCCATTCCGGTTAGTGACAGCCCTGGCTCTCCGTGTCCTCGGTGCAGACACCTTGGCGGTACCACCCCGACTCCTCTTTCCCTCCTCCGGCACATCTGCCCCGTCAGCGTGTCCTGTGGGCCCGTGCACTCGGGAGGCACCTGCTTCTCCCTCTCACTGCTGCCGCCCCTCGCTCTCCTCACGGACTGCAGAACAGCCTCCTCCTGTCTGTCGGTGTGAGCACAGGTGCCAAGGCGACCCGTCACCCCTCTGCTCGGTTGTCCTTCAGGGCTTTCATTGCTCAGCAAAAGCCAGAATCTTCTCCACGACCTGCAGGGCCCCCCAGGATGCGGTCTTCCTTCACCTCTCGCCCACCCTGTCTCCTGCGCTTGTCCATCCCGCTGGCTCCTCTGGTTCCACCCACACAGGCAGGCCGGCCGCCCCCGGAGCGGGGCTTTGCACTCGCTCTCCCGGGATGTCCTTCTGCCCATCTGGTCCCAGGGGCGTTCGGACCCTGCTTTCGGGTCGGAGATCCGGCGCAGCCTCCTCAGGAGGCCCTCCCAGTCCGCCCGGCCCACAGTGCCACGCACGCCTCTCTCGCTCCCCGTCTCGGCGTCTCGGCTCCGTTTACTCCGCTCCCGATCATCTGCACATTCTGTATTTGGACCGTTTATCTTGCTGCTTCCTGGCTCCTCTCCTTGAATGTAGCAGGGATGTTTGTTTTGATTGCTACTGCTTCCCCAGCGACTAGAGCAATCCCTGGGAATTGGGTGTGCCAAAAAATGCTTGTGTGTGACTGTTCTTTTTACCTTCCCCACCTCTTCATCTTTGTTGTTGTTGTAGTTGTTAAAATTCCACGTGTCCTTCAAAGCCTACCCATTTCAAATGCCATCACCTAAATCTTTCAGAATGTCTCCAGTCTGACGCCATCTCTGCATCTGTGTCCTCACATCATTTTATATTACTTTTAAAGAACATTGCAGCCCTGGCCGGGGGGCTCAGTTGTTTAGAGCATTTTCCCAACACGCCAAGGTTGCGGTTTGCTCCCTAGTCAGGGCACACACACAAATCAGCCAACAAGTGCGTAAGTAAGTAAGTGGAACAACAAGTTGATATCTCTCTCTGCCTGTCTGTCTCTCTCTCGTGCTCATAATTAATTAACTAGTTAATTAAACATGTCATATTTAGCCCCATGGTTAATTTTTCCTTTATAAAATCCCACCGCCAGCCCTGGAGAAATAACATACTAAATGAAGAGGATGGATATCAGAGTTGCTTCATATGTTAGCTCTTCTATTAAACAGTTAAAATTTCTGTTTATCAATACTTGATTTTTATGTAATTTCAAAATACACATTACAGATTGGTTTGCTGTGGGCAGTGCATGGGTAAGTTTTGTTTGGTGCACACGGCGTTGGCCTGCACAGTATTCTAAATTGTTTTAGGTTACCAACACTTAAAGACTGGATAATTTTACATAAAAATCTCAAATTCCGGCTTTCCCTGGGAAACTGTGGTGTATCTGGCAGTGCCAGCCTTGCGTCTTCACATCACGACTATCGGCTGAAGTCTAACAGTGACCGTGACCTGAGATGTGAGACGTCCTCTCCGGTCCAGCGCAGTGCAGTGCAGTCCCTGTCTCCTTCTGTTGTCGTTTCCGACTCTAAGGGTCTCAGGACAGCTGCCATCTGTGGTGTGGGCTGCCTGCTTGCTTTCTGTGACCTTCCCTGTCCCTTACAGCCAGTTCGGTTTGCAACCCCAGATTTAAAAGAACATACCTGTTTCTTTACAATGAACGATGTTTAGGTGAATAAGCTGTCACCTGAAGCTTAACTTGCTTTCACTGAAGTGCTGACACAGCTCCTCTGTTCATGTAATGTTGAGCAAAACAGTGAATAACGTTTTAAAAATGTGTGTTTGTTTGTTGTGTAGATGCTCCTCCTCCTACTTGGGAGCAGCTGGAAAACGGGCTGGTCGCCGTGCGCACGGTGGTACATGGTCTGGTGGACTACATCCAGAACCACAGCAAGAAAGGAGCCGACCAGCAGCAGGTGAGGGAGAGGCTGGAAGCGTAGACGCGCTCCGCCGCGGGTGTCTTCACAGACACACGCAAGCCAGCAAGGCGACACGCACATTCTGGGACTCAGACTGCACTGGCAACATGTGGGCTTAGCGTGGTTAGCGGCCAGTCACTGGATTAGTCTGGTATTTTTGTGTGGCAACATTGAAATGAAATAGTTCTTGTTGGCCTAATGCTGAGCTGGAATCACTTTTCTCAGTGGATGTAGCAGCATTTGATTCTGTGCTAAAGCTCATTCCATTTCGGTCCAGTTAGTCTCTTTGGTTACTGTAACATCTCTGTTTGACAGTACGTACCACTTTTTCGTGGTAATGCTACATCTCTCCAATACCGTTCACATGTTTGTAAATGCTTTTTCCATATTGGTATTGTAACATTTTTCATTCATAATGTTTTTTATTCCAGTGAGCCAAATTTTCTCAAAAAAATTTAAATGAAATATATGGCAGTATAATATAATGCGTCATGTAACTAGACTTTTTAACTTTACTCCCCACAATTTTGTTTCACTCTCAGTATTTATATTACTAGCTCTTTTATTTTGCAGTAGTAAACTTGAGAAATTAAAACTTCGTTATTAATTTATCTGGCTTAGGTAAATATTAACAATAGATTATTCGCTGTTCTTAATCTTCTTTGGGAGACAAGAAATAATTAAAACTGTCTTAAGGAGAATGATATGGATGTAATTATCCTAATCAATCTAAGTACAAATCAGAGCTTTATTTTTTTATTCAGAAATAAATGAAATTAAAACCTATTTTTTAACTCCCTGTTCCATTAGACATTATGAAGAATGTGACAAAATTCATAAAATTAGCCTTTAAATTCTGCCAATTAGTGATAAAAATGCATCAATTTTTCCTTCATTTAGTATTGTGTTTGATAACTTACTAACTCCCAAATCCACTGTCCTGCCTTATCACTGAGTTGTAAATAATGAGTTTCGTTTGTACCTTGGGAGATAGGTTAAGTCCTTGATACAGCCTATATGTCAAGACTTGGTTACAGAGTGTTTGTCGGTTGTAGGGCATATTGTAGATTCATGGTGTGTTATAAAGAAACACAATTACAGCCCTGGCCAGTGTGGATCGGTGGGTTGAGCGCCAGCCTGTGAACCAAAAGGTTCACAATCGGTGCACATGTCTGGGTTGCAGGCCAGGTGCCCCAGCTGGGGAGTGGGAAAGGCAACCATTTGGTGTTTCTCTCCTCCTCTTTCTCCCTCCCTTGCCCTCTCCCTAAAAATAAATAAAATCTTTTTTAAGAAAAGAAACAGGATTATAAATAAACTAAACATTGTTCAAAACAAATATTAGAAGACAGTTTAAACATTTAAAAAGTCCTAAACTTCAGTGGTTTGTTCATTATAAAACCCGGAAGAATATCATCAAGCCCTCATGAAATTTAATCAAAAATGTATGTGAGCCCTGGCTCAGTTGGTTAGAGTATCATCCCGATACACTAGGGTTGCGGGTTCGATCCTCAGTCAGGGCACATACTACAGTCAACCAATGAATGCAAGAATGGGTGAACAACAAATATCTATCTATCTGTCTACTTACCTACCTCCGTCTCTACCTCTCTCCTTCCCTGGCCTCCCTCCCTCCCTCTCTTGGTATGTGTTTGAGAACATACCAGGGTGTCTGGACTACATTTTCTTTCGTTAACTTATTTTGGGACTCTCTGAAACAAGACAGAACGACTTTCCAGCGCTTTCGCTCTGGGCAGTCTAGATAAGTGTATGAAGCAGTCAGTCTGAATTGTTCATCTAGATTGTCAAGATCCTAAAATGGCAGTGAAATTTTTCCATCTTTTTCTAATGTCTAATATTTTACTTTTGGACTTAGCCTCCGCAGCATAGCAAATATAAAACGTACATGTGTCGAGACATGAAGCAGAGAGGAGGATGCCCTCGTGGGGCCAGCTGTACATTTGCACACTCCCAGGAGGAACTGGAAAAGTAAGTGCAAAAAGTCACTGAACTCGGCCTTCTAGCTGAAGAAGGTCGAGTTACTAAGTAGAGTAACTTGCTGCCATGGAGAAGTACAAGAAGAGTAGGTGTATTCTCTTCAATGAACAGGAAATGTTTAGAAAGTAATACATGAGATGGAATTTTTAAAAAGAAAATTGAAGCAGTCTTTTCAGCTTTCATTTCATCGTGCCTAAAAATAGGAAGCTATTTCTGGTTAATTAAATCTAGAATTGAGTCATTCTCACTACCAAAATAGAGATGAAAATTCTGAGAATTTTCATCAGTTTTCACTGACTGATTTTAACTAATTGAGTAACATATGACCAATGGAAAAATGGCCTCTTTGCTCTATTAAAGAAATTGTTTAATTTCCAGGTTGAGTTTCACAAATATTCAAATTTGAAGGACTAGGTAATTTCAATGATGTTAAATTTTCCAGCACATAGTAGAAAGAAAGAAAAACTTTTAAATTTTTTTTATAAAATCAGCAATACTAAGTTTGACAAATGGTATAATTAAGCTACATATTTATCTGACATACTAACATTTGTAAAATCCCAAATATTAAACTTGGAATTCAATAATACATTAAAGTAGACACCATGGCTTACTGCAAAGGTAGGTAGCACAATATTAGTTACTATAAGTTATAGAAGAAATACCTTTTGGTTGATCATATCCAAAGATGCCAAAAGGCATTTGAATAAAATTTAATGTCCATGATAGATCAAAATCCCTTATTAGAGCAAAAATATCATAGGCACTTCCTCAACATTATATCTTATAAGCCAGCATGATAACATCATGCTTAATTAGTAAATGTTAGATTTAGTCTCATTTAAGAGTAAAGCAAACTTCTGTGCTAGTAAAACAATTATTTAATATTCTAGAAGTAGTAGCAAATGTATGTGAACAAGAGAGTAAAACATCTTAACATTATTACACAGAGCAATTCAAGAAGAGCACTGGAAGCTAAAGAAATGAGAATTTGCACTGACCAGCACGGCTCAGTTGGTTGGGCATCAATTCCCGTTCAGGGCACATGCCTGGGTTGCTGGTTCGGTCCCCATGTGGGATGTGTGTGAGAGGTGACCAGTTGATGTTTCTCTCTCACATTGATGTTTCTCTCCCTTTCTTTCTCCCTCCCTTCCCCTTTCTCTAAAAGAATAAATAAGTGAAATCTTTAACAAAAAAGAAAGGAGGCCTTAGTAAGATTGCAAATCAAAAAAATTTTTTTGATGAATTGCTGTCATATAAACCAGTAAAGTGAAATTAAAGATTCCTTTTGCATTAACAACAAAAAGGTAAATATGAAATTATAAACTCTAAGAAGTATTCAAAACCTTTATGCATTGAATTAGTAGACTAGCTGGGAACATAAGGAAAGAATTGGCTAAAAGAAGAAGAATACTGTATTTTTATATAAGACTGGGCATTATAAAGGTTTTATTTTCTCTGAAACAGTAAATTCACTGAAATCCCAATTAGAATCTTCACATGATGATTTTTAGGACCTAACAATCATTTATTTGGAAGATTATGCAAATAGCCAAGCACATTCTGAAAAAAGAAGGGACTAGACTAATAACTAGAATAATAAGCAGTAGTTTGTATTATGAGCTAAAATGTATACAGGCTATAGTATTGGGATAGATCAATGAAATATAATAGAGAATGTAGAGAGAGTTCAAGACACACGCCGGGACTTGGCACACGTGTTCAAGGTAGCATTTCACACCAATAAGAGAAAAGTGGATGGAGTCACTGCTGTCCATTTAAAGCATAATAGCTGGATTATTACCTTTACACCAGAATGAATTATAAATATATCAGAAATTCAAATATTTAAGAAGGAAACCATAGAATACTTAAAGACTTTTGTTGTTGTTACATAATTTTACAATAGGAAAAGAGTTTTTGAAGAATGACAACCCAGCATCCATAGAGGAGAAGATTGATAAGTTTGATTACATAAAAATTAAAAACTAAGATATGGCCTAAACACCACAATTAAAAGAAAAAAGATTAGTGGGGAAATAATATACAAAAGCTGATATCCCTAACACAGAATGAGCTCTTAAAAATCTGTAAGAAAGAAAGGCCAGTAGATAGATGGAACAGGAACATGAATGAGCAAAAAGCAGTAGAATACTAATCACCAGTAAACATGTGAAGATGTGTTCCCCTTCACTCTGCTAAAGAATGTAAGTAAAAACAAAAGTCGATATTCTTGAACTAACAGTTAACAGAGACTGATACTACCCAGTGTTTGGCGAGGTGCTAACATAAAAGACACTGTCAGTAGGGATGGTTATGAATTGTTTTGGAGCATTAACATAGTTTCTAATATGCATACATGAGATTTTGGGATTCTGCTTTCGGGTACTCACACAAGGGTGCAAATACATGTACGTAATTATCTGTCACTACTTGTTTTAATAGCAAAAAATTAGGAATAACTTAGAATGTACTGACATAAAGGAATGGCCAAGGTTACAAAGTGGAGGGGAAGAAATTACTAAGCAATCATATATGACCCTGTTTCTGTAAACAGTAATCTTATGTACATATGAATATTAAGGAAGTGTATGGAGGGAAAATCTATATGATTACATACCAAACTGTTAACAGTGGTTTCCCCCAGAAATTTGTCACATATGGAAAAAAATTGAAAAAATAGCATTACTCTTTTGGGGGTTTGTGTTTGAAATCTTTAAAAATGCACTAGGTAGTTGTAAAGAGAGTTGCTTTCGTCGTCGAGGAGCAAGGATGCCGAGTCTGAGGGCTTCGTTTTTCCCTGTGGTTGGATTCGGCATCTACAGGCCTGGCACACTGAGGCACGTGTTCACATTCAGGCAGTATCCTCCATGGTTTCCACGAGCCCAGTTTTGAAATAATCCCAGCTTTATGTGGGTACACACAACATCAGCATCTCTGAATCGGATCCGATACAACTTACAATTCTTGATTACTTAAATGTTTTCGTGGAACAAATAGTAAATTTTTCTCCGTGCACATTGGCTTTCTGTTTTACTCCTAATTTATAATGTAGGCTCACAGTATCGCAAGGCACCTGAAAGGAACCTAAAATCTTGCAGAAAACTGTCTTCTAAAGATTTGTCCACCCCTTCCTCCCATTAGTTTTAGGAAAAAAATTTTTCAATATAAGTAACTTAATTATATTCATTCAAATATTAGCATGATTTGTAATGTTACAAATATTATGAGGAACTTTATACTTAGTGTGTCTTAAGATTTTATAGAACATATACACACAGACATGCACGCACATGCACGGATCCATAGCTAAAGTCAGTGTTGGCAGAGAATTTCTGGAAAATAATGCACTTGGAATCTCTAATGTCTGTATCTGTTTCTTAAGGATATTTGTGTTGTTGGTTTTGACTTTGTGATTTTGGTTGTGGTGTGTGCCTTTGCTTTTTGTGTAGATTCCGTAAGATGAACAAACGCCTAGTTCCCAGAAGACCCCTGAGCGCCTCTTTGGGTCAGCTGAATGAGGTGGGCCTGCCTGCGGCGGCCGTCCTCCCGGACGACGGCGCCGTGGATCTGCCCGGCAGAAAGCCCCCCGCTCTGCCCAATGGGATTGTGTCAGCAGGAAACACGGTCACGCAGCTGATCCCACGAGGGACGGACCCCAGCTACGACTCCAGTCTGAAACCAGGGAAGATGGATCATCTGAGCAGCAGCGCCCCCGGATCCCCTCCTGACCTGTATGTCATTTTCCTAGCATTTATTTTAAAGTTTCTTTTTTAAAAATTTATTTATTTATTTATTTATTTATAGAGAGGGAGAAGGGAGTGAGAAAGGCAGGGAGAGAAACATCAATGTGTGGTTGCTTCTTGCATGCCCCAACTCCAGGGACCTGGTCCATAACCCAGGCATATGCCCTGACTGGGAATTGAACCAGCGACCCTTTGGTTCTCAGGCCAGCGCTCAATCCATTGAGCCACACCAGCCAGGGCTCAAGTTTCTTCTTTATAAACGTAAAATAGAGGGAAGGAAGAATAATCAATGTTTTTTAATTCATTTTTTTGCGTTTTCGGGGTATATTTGTATTTTTTGTGTTACTGATTTTGTAAGAAAGTTCACGTAAGTGAAATAAGATGAAAGTTTGTAAATTTTGTAGAAGGAATGACTATTGGAAGAGAATCATTTCCCAAATTGTGACAGTTTATTTTTTTACGTTTAACAGTCCGTACAATCAAGACCTTAAGTCTGACTTGCAGAATTTCTTTCTGCAGGCTAGAATCGGTCCCCAAGAGCATCCCTGCCCTAGCTGTGAACCCGCATCCCGTACCTCCACGGGGCCCGACAGACCTGCCTCCCATGCCCGTCACCAAACCGCTCCAGATGGTGCCGCGGGGCTCTCAGCTGTACCCCGCGCAGCAGGCGGACGTCTACTATCAGGACCCTCGGGGAGCGGCTCCGCCCTTCGAGCCTGCGCCCTACCAGCAGGGTAATGGCCTTTCCTTTGCTGCTCTCACTGTTCTTAGCACTTAGGGGATGGGTCCAGGTAGGAGTGGTCACTCTTGCAGTGGCCTCCTTAAGGTAAGTGTGCTTTTTAATGGTTTGGAAGAAACATCCTGTGATCAACGAAATAGTATAGAATAAATGAAGTAGCCAAGCTATAATGCTGTTGTATATTAAATATATTCATATATTTATGGAAATAACAAGTTGGCCATGTAGACAATGGAAATTGGCTAAAGCAGTATATATTTGCCTGACCAAAATTTTCTTCAAGCATGAAAAATATTTTTAATACATTACAGTGGGTATAAATTAAGTGGGCACGGTATATTTTTCTTCCTTTCAGTTATCACCTAATATTTTTCTGGGTCCCATCATATATACAAAAAAATGCAGCGTACATAGAGTTTATAGTATGGAGTTGTATTAGTAAAGAAGAGAAAACTCGATGGGTGAGTGTGTGTGTGTGTACAGGCATACCTTGGAGATAGTTTGGGTGTGGTTTCAGACCACTGTAAAGTGAGTCACACGAATCTTTGGTTTCCCAGTGTATATAAAAGGGATGTTTATACCGTACTATTATGTGTTAGTGGGTGCAGCAGCATTATGTCCAAAAAATACTACACATACCTTAATTAAAAATACTTGATCGGTAAAAAATGCTGACCGTCAGCTGTGCCTTTAGGGAAACTATCACCAGTAGACTCGCTCCCAGGGGTTGCCACAGACCTTCAGCTTTTTAAAAATGCAATTGTGAAATGCAATAAACAAAATGCAAGCAAGCGAAGTATGCCTATATACACTGTATGTGTGTTAAAAATTAGGTGTTTGGTTGTGTTGCTTAGTATTCATGTGGTAGCAATGACTGCAAGCCTTGGGAGCTCACTGAAAGCTTGAGAAATTAGACTTTATGGAAGAATGCCCTAAGTAGAGGTTTTGGGAATGGAAAGAGTTATGGTGGGTTGGAAGAATGAGACTAGAGGCAGTAAGAGTGAGGAGACTATCGTTGACGCAGGTGTGAGTGTTGAAGTCTGAATTAGTGTGGTGGGAAGAAGAGGAGGGATTTTAGAAAATAGACAAATTTGAAAAATGAGCCAGTTTTGATGATAATACTAGGAGTGGAGAATGAAGGACTGTAGATGACTGACGTTTCCTAAATTGTATATTTCCTATATACAATTCATGTGGAAAAAAATAAACACCCAATTTTTTTATCCCCACCCAAGGATGTGCTTACTGATTTTAGAGACAGGGGAAGGGAGGGGAGAGAGAGGGGGACATTGATTGATTGCCTCCTGCGTGCTCCCTAATCAGGGTCTGAACCTGTGGCCTTGGCATGTGCCCTGACTGAGAAGCAAACCCACAACCTTTTGGTTTATGGGACATGCTCCAACCAACTGAGCCACACTGGCCAGGGCAAACACCCAGCTTTTAAACCGAAGTGTTGGATCTCTGTGTCAGAAACAGCATACAGCTATTATTTTGTTGAAATGACTTTAAATACAGTACACCAGTTAGGGTTCGATATTTAGCAGAAAGAGGTGTAATGCAGGAAGTTCAGGTGTTTATAAAATCCGTGGAAGGTGCAGGAAAAGCAGGCTTAAGCGAGGCCTTCAGCGGCACTTCCAGCACTAGCTGCCGAAAGAAACTGCTGCAGTGAGGAAGCAGCAGAAATGGGAAACTTCCGTCCTGCCTGCGAGCTCCAGGATCACGTCACATGCAGCAGAAACCTGGAAATTGGGACGCTCCTGGCACGGCTGTTGCCTGAGCTCTGGAGCAACACGGTAGCTGCCAGGCCTGCGCCGGGTCTCTCTCCGGCTAACGCAGTTGCACATTCAGGACTCATGCAAGTGAGTGATTTGTGCAGCTTAAACTTCAGGGAAATGCAGGTTTTCGCTTTCCATTGTGTTGAGTCATACCTGAAAGACAGTCAAACAATTGAGAGAGCCAATCTATGATTGCAGATTATAAACCAGATTAGTTTTTTCAATAACTTTTAAGAACAATTTTTACATGTTATTTTTCACAAAGCTAACCTGAGTAAATAAGCAGAGAAGAAAACACCTAAAGAAATCAGTGGGTGGTTAATTCTCTCGTGTTCAAATACTTGCACAGACAGAGTCTCCTGTAGAGAACCCGATGGGCCCATTGTCGCTTTTCTGTAACACACAGGTATGTACTACACTGCACCGCAGTGCGTGTCCCGCTTCGTGCGACCTCCGCCGTCTGCTCCTGAGCCCGCACCTCCCTACCTGGATCATTACCAGCCCTACCTCCAGGACCGCGTCATAAACCCTCCGTACGGCACGCAGCCGCACCAGTACCCGCCCATGTACCCGCCGCACTGTGACGGCCGCCGAGTGTACCCTGCTCAGTCTTACCCCAGAGAGGAGATCTTCCGGGAAAGTTCTATTGAGATTCCACCTCCGGCAGTACCGTCCTACGTGCCCGAGTCCAGGGAGCGGTACCAGCAGGTGGAGGGCTACTACCCGGTGGCTCCTCATCCAGCGCAGATCAGACCTTCGTACATCAGAGTACGCTGTGCTTTTTCTTACTACCGCGTAGATTTAATTTGAGTATGGCTTAGAGTGACTTTCTTTTAGTGAGACAGCATGCCTTTATTCTTCATCTTGTCATCATTTGGGTAGGATTTTTTTTTTTAAACCTCACCCAAGGATATATATACAGTGGTTTTCAGAGAGAGAAGAAGGGAGGGGGCTGCGGAGAGAGAAATGTCGATGTGGGAGGGAAACAGATCAGTTGCTTCCAGCACGCGCCCCAACCAGCGATCACACCCGCAACCGAGTGTGCTCCCTGACCAGGAACCGAGCCCACAGACTTCTGGCACATGAGAGGATGCTCTGGCCAACTGAGCCACCCTGCCAGGGCTTATTTCTTTGTTTTTGTTTGTAAGGTTTTATTTACTTTGAGAGAGAGGGGAAGGGAGTGAGAAAGAGGGAGAGAAACATGTGAGAGATACATCAGTAGGTTGCCTCTCACAGGCCCCCAACTGGGGATCTGACCCGCAACACAGGCTTGTGCCCCGACTGCAATTTGAACCAGCGACCTTTCAGTTTGCAGGCCGCCACTCAATCTACTGAGCCACACCAGCCAGGCCTGTTTTGTTTTGTTTTTTGTTTTTTAAATTAAACTATTAAAGGAAAAAAAATTTCTATCCCACTCTCACTAATAATCCTTCTTAGTTTCTGAACTTTAGGTGGTTTTATTAACAATTGCAGATTGATTTGGAAATTAAGGTCTCTGACCAAAAACCGCCCCCCCAATTTAGCTCTTTGGTAAATCCTGGGAATTTGGGGCAGGGGCTTGTTATACTTCGATTGTTGGTATTTCCAAATGTTAAGATGAGTACACAAGCTGCTGCTTATCTAAAACATGTGCTAAATGAATGAATGTGTTCTGAAATTCTTTTTCAGTGTTTACTAATGTTTGTGTTTGCAGGAGACGCCCTACAGCCGGCTCCCTCCCCCGCCCCAGCCCCACCCCAGTCTGGACGAGCTGCACCGGAGACGGAAGGAAATCATGGCGCAGCTGGAGGAAAGGAAGGTTATCTCCCCTCCGCCGTTTGCGCCCTCACCCACGCTGCCCCCGCCCTTCCACCCAGAGGAAGTAAGCACAGCGTTCTTGGTCTCTGTTGTCCCCTTCTCCTTGCTGGTGGTTTGCCCTGTCCTATTGAAGTGGTCTTCGCCTGGTCTTGAGGTTATGAAAATATTTTCCTGTTTCTTTCTAAAAGGTTTACTGTTTTATTTCTCATTGGGACCTGCAGTCTCTCTAGAAGAGAGATTTTTTATTCTGGTGTGTTAGGAGTCAAGGTCCATCTTCCCCCAAAGGGTTTCTCATTGACTCGGCGCCATGTAGGGAAAAGACCTCTTTCCTCAGTCCCCTGCAGTCACCTTCATTGTAGCCAGGTCACCTTTGTCACAGCCAGGCGACTGTGTGTGTCTCAGGACTCACCTGCCGCTCGCTGCTGTGTCCCGTGCCCCTGCACCAACACCACGTCGTCGTCGGGGTGCGGCGTCACAATAGGTCTTAGTACAGAGTGATGTGTGCTCCTCGGGTCTGTTCTTCCTCACGGTCACCTCTGCCGACACGTTTCAGAGTCACGTTTTGTTGTCCACACAAAAAATCTGCTTCAGTTATTTCTTAATCCTCACCCGAAGATGTTTATTGGTTTGAGAGAGAGAGAAAGGGGGAGAGAGGCAGAGAAACGCCATCAGTGGGTTGCCTCCTGTGTGCGCCCCGACTAGGGATTGAACCCACAGCCCAGGTGTGTGCCCTGACCAGGAATCAAACCCACGACGTTTTGGGGTACGGGACAATGCTCTAATCAACTGAGCCACCCGGCCAGGGCTGTCTGCTTGCTGCAGCTTCTATCAGGGTTACACCGACTCAGGGTCTGTGCTGTTCAGTACGGAGCTGCCAGTCACGTGCGGCTAGTGAGTGCTTCAAGTGCGGCCGGTCCATCCAAATTACACGTGCTGGGAGCATAAAATAGCCACTGGGTCTGAAGATGTAGCACCCCCACAAGTAAAATACTCTATTAATATATATGTTAATTGCATGTTAAAATGATAATGCTTTGGCTATATTAACTTTAAAAATTAAATTAATTAATTTCTTTAAATTAATTAACTTTCTTTTTATTTGTGTAATGTGGCTACTAGAGATTTTTTAATTGTGTGTGGGGGTCTCGTTTCCATTAAACAGTGCTGCTTTAGATCCACTTGGGGAGAAGTGACATCTTTTTAACACCGAGTCTCCAAGGACGTGGTCTTCCCTCCACGTGCCTGAATCATCTGTGATTTCTCTCAGTCACACCGTATGTCACACAGTTTTCAGCCGTGCACATCTCCCGTTAAACTTACTCCTGGTGACTGACTTTTCAAGCCGTTTTAAATGGAGTCCTTCTCTTTCTTATTAATAGAGAGAAGATAGATCATACTGGCCCTTATATTCAACAGCCTTGCTAAATTTCCTTCTTAATCTTCATATTCGTTAGTGGGTTGCTTCGGGTTTTCTGTGCACACAGTCATACCCTCTGCGAACGGTGTCCATATGGCGTTCTGCTTTTTTCTTTTCAGTCCGCTTATCTCCCCCACCCCCCGCGACAGCCAGCCCTCCAGGGCAGTGCCGAGCCGAAGGGACGGCCGCACGCGCTCTGGACTTGTCTGCAGTCCTTGAGCGAACGCGAATGGAGCTCTTAATAATTCATTGTATTTGCTGCAGGGTTTTTTTGTAGATAATTTTTATCAGGTTAATGAAATTCCCCTCTCCTTGGTTTTTTTGTTTGTTTGTTTGTTTTTACTAATGAGATATGCCAAAGATTTGTTTAAGTAAGGAGGGAAGGAGCAGGATGGTCAGGTCGCGGGGGAGAACAGGAGGGAGAGGCCGACAGAGCGGTGAAAGGCGGAAGAGAGAGAGCACTGACACAGACAGTTCCTGGGATAAACTGATTAAAGCACCGCAGGGCCATAAACTGTAGTTTGGGGGGTTATCTTCGTTGTGTTTCTACAGGACACTCCCCATAGTCATCACGAATGAGTGCTATTACCTTTGATGTCCACAGCATCGATAGTGGTCTTCATTGTTCCACTTGTGACAGCAACAGTCATTTTTCTCAGACTTGCTAGGGATTCATCCATTTTGTCTTTTCAAAAAACAAACAGCTCTTTGTTGATCTTATTCATGTATTTATTTTGGTTTGTTGATTGTACACACTGTCTCATTTACTGTGTGTGTGTATATGTGTGTGTGTTTTTTTGTTTTTGTTTTTTTTTTATTTTTTAAAGATTTATTTATTTATTTATTTCTAGAGAGGGAAGGGAGGGAGAGAAAGAGAGAGAGAGAGAGAGAGAGAGAGAGAGAGAAACATCAATGTGTGGTTGCTGGGGGTTATGGCCTGCAACCCAGGCATGTACCCTGGCTGGGAATCGAACCTGGGACACTTTGGTTCCCAGCCCGCACTCAATCCACTGAGCTACGCCAGCCAGGGCTTATATGTGTGTTTTTAAGTCAGTTAGGTTTTCTCGGCATTGTTGCAGCTGATGGTATGTAAGGAAAATGTCTCCCATCCTTTCTGTGTGGAATTACAGTTCTAAACAACATTGGTGTCCAACAAAGTGTAAGTAACAGGCAATGAAAGGTAAAGTGCATCAGATCACGTACAGCAAACAGTAACCTTTTGGGTCTGTGAAAGTGATCTACTAAATGAAAGTTGTTCACATATCTAGCGTTCCTGTCTAAACGCTTCGGATGGATTATGCATAGCAGTGTAGATTAATTAGTAAGCTCATAGCCTCTTCTATTAATGTAATTCTACTCGTAAAGTATGAACATCACGTGTTTTTTAAAACTGTGTATTAGGGGCATCCTGGGACCTTGTTGCCGTGGTGTTTTTTAAGAAATAGCGAAAGCTACGTGACGCTGTGAGAAGTGAGCTAATTGTGGAGTCAGGCACCTTTGAGGTTTAGCTGTGTCACTCAGCATGTGGTCTTGTGCGAGTTCCTCGGCCTCCCTGACCCCGTGAACCGAGCACAGTGGAGCCTGCTCACGGCGAGGCAGCGAAGATCAAGTGGGACGTGAGGCACGTGGCCCAGAGCAGACGCTCGGTAACTAAGGACCAGTCACTGCTGCACAAACGCTGTTGTATACAGTTGACCCTTGAACAACATGCGGAATGGAGGCACCAACCCCCACAAAGTCAAAAATCGAGTATGACCTGTGGCTCCCTAAAAACTTGACTACCGTGCAGTTGTCCCTCGATATCTGTGGGGAGTTGGTTCCAGCGCTGCCCACGTGTCAAATCCGTGGACGTTCGAGCTCCTTGCACAGAGTGGCATAGAACAAGGCGTGCATCCGGCCCTCTGCACCCGCAGGTGCAGAGCCTGGGAGCACAAGGGCCGACTGTAAGTGTACTGAACAGTAGCCATGTATTGAGCAGTTCGAACCCATGCCATTCTTGGGTTGGCTGTATTTATGCTTCAGTTCTGATTATCAACAACATACATAGAGCTGTATCAACTTTGTACATTCTAAACGGACGTAACAAATCCCTCCAAAATCCCATTTTGCAAATCACTGCCAATTTATTAGATATTTCAACTTTTCTGTGCGTGAACTAGCATGTTACTTTTAACAGTGTCATTTAGTAATTTATCTTGAGGTTTTGTACATGTTTTGTATGTTGTATATAAATTTATCTCTTTTTTTAACAGCTGCATGATACATTAGGGTCAGGGGGAATCACTCTTTAGTAAGTCACTAAAACAGCTAGCTTTTTAGTATGTCTCTAAAAAGTTCTACACGAAGTTTGGTTGTGGAGGAGAAATGAAAAAGGATATGAAATCTTAAAAATAGAGGTAGAACAAAAAAAGCAAAGAGATATTAACATTGGAAACAGGCCTTGTGGTTGGAAATGAGTGGTATTTGGAAATAGACGGCCCTGTGTCACGCAGAAGACCAACACTGAGGACTCAGGAAAAAGATTGTCTCAGATGGGGGAGGCCCAGAGCCACTGAAATGTTCGGGCAGCCCTGGGGTGTCAGCGCAGGTGTCTGTGGTCAAGCGAAAGCCATGTTGAAGTCCGGGCACTGCCCTGGACTGGAGGAGCCTTGGGGAGACTTGAGGTGCAGGGGAGGTGGTGCGCACACACACACCGTGACAGCTGCCGGCACCCCCCGAGTGTGAGTGCCGCGGTCTCCGTGAGAACACGCAAGACCTGCAATAGCTGTTTTGTCGTTCCGTGATTTCCGAACTCATCTCGAGAAAACAAAAGTAGGCATCTTTTCGTTTTCACTTCATTGAGTCAACCCCAGGACCAGAATTCTTTCAAGATACGAATTACTACTTTACAGAGATTTCAGTAAAAAGGTTATTACATCATCGTACAGAACATTAAAAATAGTTTTCATGTTCTTGCTTCCCTGGAATGTTATTGAAAGAAACGTTGAGGGGAGGGTTTAGCAGAACTGGGGCCTGATACGTATTTTTGTAGTCGACAGAAATCTGTGACAAATCAAATAACCGTCAGATGTTGTTTCAGCATGATGTGCTACGAAATTTCTGCTTTCTCCGTGTTGTTTACTCATAGACCCATTTCCTATTTGTTTCCTTTTTTCTCCCCTCATCTGCAGTTTTTGGATGAAGACTTGAAGGCCGGGAAATACAAAGGAAATGATTATAGCCAGTACTCTCCCTGGTCATGTGACACCATCGGCTCCTACATTGGAACCAAAGATGCAAAACCCAAAGACGCTGTGGCAGCAGGGAGTGCGGAAATGATGGTATGTGTGATAACTAAGCCATTATTAATACAGGTCAAGGTCAACCAAATAAATTATTCCCTATTACAGTGTAGACACAAATAAATGAGATTAGCTTTAGAGTTTCAGGCTAACCCTGGCTGGGGTGGCTCAGTGGATTGAGTGCTGACCTGGGAACCAAAGGGTTGCTGGCTCCATTCTGGCTCAGGGCACATGCCTGGGTTGTGGGCCAGGTCCCCAGTAGGGGGCGTGTGAGAGACGACCCATTGACGTTTCTCTCACATGTTAATGCTTCGGTCCCTCTCCTTCGCCCTCCCTTCCCTCTCTCTAAAAATAAATATATTTTTTTAAAGTTTCATGCTACATTCTTTGCTGTGCAATTAAATTACATTTACACTATACTATTTTGTGGGGGTTTTTTTAGATATAAATAAAAATATTTTAATACTTATCTAGACAGAGAACATTTATTATATTTCTGAGCAGGTAGCAGTTAACCCAGCAGCCTCTTAGACCCCAAATTAAGTTATTTTACATAACTAATCAAGATCTTGAATTTCTCGTCCAAGTGAACGATAACTCCTACAGCTCTGAAGTTTACACAACAACGTTGCACCCAGTGAAACAGAAGTGCGAGAGTCAGGATTGTAGCCACGCAGCCTCAAGTGGCTTGCGGTGCACTGGAACGTTACGCTTGTGCGCTTCTGCTTTTTAACAAAACAGGATGAGACACCGGTTTATCTAATACCCGAGCTTAAAGTAGATCACTATTTTATCTTAATTGTTTCCTTATTTCTTAAAGAAATAAAACTTGACAGAGGTAGTCAGATCCTCCTTTCTCTACCTCCCTAATCTCACCTTTCCCCTCCCCCTTCCCCGGAGGTAACTCTGCCTCAGTCGAGACCTAAGTGTGGGGTGGGTTTCTCGTTTCACTTGTCAGAACGTGGAGAGTAAGGGAGTGCGAGACCAGCGGCTGGACCACCAGAGAAGAGCTACCGAAACCAGTGACGACGACCTCATCCCGTTTGGGGACCGGCCGACAGTCTCGCGGTTTGGTGCCATCTCTCGAACCTCCAAAACAATATACCAGGGTGCTGGCCCGTTGCAGGCGATGGCACCTCAGGGAGCTCCCACAAAATCTATGAACATGCCAGGTGAGACCCTCAGGGGTACGCTTCTCTGGAGGGCTCATATACGTGACCCCCAGCACCACCCCTACTGCCCGCCCTCTGTCATTGCCGTCCGTAATCGTACGCGACAGCCACCCCCACATTCCTCCGTGGCCTTGTCCCTGGAGAAAGGTAATTACCCGCCCTGGAATTACGGGCCACAGACTAAAACTAAATGCCTGTATGCGAACATCGCTTCTTTTTTTAATAGCTTCATTGCTTTTAGTTAAAATAATACATGATCATTTTTTTAAAATACAGTCAAAAGAAAAATGACAAAGACTGGTGTTTCATTGGGGGGAAAAAACCAAACTTCAGAGTGCTGTTCCCATATTGGTGGAGCTCTTTCTGGAGAGCTGCGTGCACAGTGTGCGTGTGCCCTTGGGGCACGGCCGCGCAGGGGAAGCGCGCCGTGGCCGCGGGTGGGTGGGGTGCACTGCATGCAGCGAGTCCCTCTCTTGCAGACTACAGTCCGTACGGAGCCCACGGCGGCTGGGGCGGCTCCCCGTACTCCCCGCACCAGAGCGCGGCGTCTCAGGCACACTTCAGTGAGAGGTACGGTCGCTCCTTCTGCTCCTGCGGACCTTCACAGTTGTGCCCCCTCCTCATTTTGTTCTTCTGGCCTGTGCTTTTCCAGTCAAGTTTCTCATGTATCCCATGCTTTCTTTCCCGCCACAGGGAGAGGATATCCATGTCGGAAGTGGCCAGTCACGGAAAACCCCTTCCGTCCGCCGACAGGGAGCAGCTGCGACTGGAACTGCAGCAACTGAACCACCAGATCAGCCAGCAGACCCAGCTGCGTGGACTGGAGGTACCGGCCTGGAGGCGGGCTTCCACTCCAGTTTCCAGAGGGTGCTCAAGGAGGTTTTAAAAGGAGGACCTTTTCAGGTGCTGTGAATGCACAACTTTAAGGTCTGCTTTTTGAGAGTTAGGATAGGTGTCCATTCTTCAGAGAATGTAAGTACTTAGAGTTTAGTTCTGGGACGGGGGAAACAGAATTTTATTCCCCGAGAGCAGGAGACAGGTGATCTGAATTTTCCCCACAGGTAGTCATCAGTGTGCGCCTTAGCTTAAGATTGGTTTTTGGTTTTTCATACTTCTTTACCTTCTAAAAACTTATTTCCTTTAATTCCCAGCATTTATTTATGTATCTTTAAAAAAAATAGAAACTTAGATCTTTGCCTTTAAAAAATAGTCTCTGTATAATAATAGCACCTTCATTAATGTAGTTCTTTTTGTTTATAAGTTACTGTCACGGTAGCGGGCCCTCAGTGTGTCCCCGACAGGCAGGGTGAGCGGGTGGCGTTGTTCCCCTTTTTGGTTGAAGTTTAGTAGTTTCACAGAGAGTAGGGCATGAGTCCGGGTCTTCAGACTCCAGATTCAGGGTTCTGCTAACTCATGGCTTTTCTTCTTAGTTGAAATTTCTAAACCCATTTTCTGCCCCAAAGGAATAACAGCATCATTTGCAATCTTGCCACATATTTAACTTAATTCTGGTTAAAGGTCATTGCCATTAACGAGGTTTCATTGAAATAAATTACAGGGTGTGTCAGAGAAATTCAGTAAATGAGGGCAACAGTGTACATTTCTAGTTGACTTCTCTAAGAGCAACTTACACCTAAGGTTAAATCGCTGCTCACTAAAGTTAGGTCCCCTATTTTTTTTTCCCGAATGGTACTCAGAGAAAGAGATGGTACCTTGTAAGCTGCACTGTGTTCATTGCAAATGCCCGGGCGATAAGCTGCTCGTGGCCGCGGTGTGGAGTGGGGCCCGGCCGTTCTGCACGCGGTGTGGAGCGTGCTGAGCTGCGCGTGCGCTCGGCTCCGTGCACTCGGCCGTTAGTAACGGGCTGCTGTTGCAGAGGGAGGCGAGCACCCTGGCAAGCCAGTCGCAGCCCCCGCCAGCACCGCCGAAGTGGCCTGGAATGATCTCGAGTGAGCAGCTGAGCCTGGAACTGCACCAGGTGGAGCGGGAAATCGGGAAGAGAACCCGGGAGCTGAGCCTGGTGAGTGTTGTGGTGGGAAAGGGGGGGGGGGGACGGGAAAGCTGCTCTGCAGCTGTGTCACAGAGCTCGTGGCTCTGGAGTTCTGGAATCATCCAGAGCCATCAAATAATCACCCCAAAGCACTCTGACGAGTGCTGAAGACTTAGAATAAGTCTCACGAAGATGGGCTTCCATCCTGTTTTGTCATTCCTCTCCTCATTCCCTTTCGGTTTGAGTGTGTTCTCTGTCTTAGGACCCTGCATTACAAAAACTGTTCGGGGAAAACAAGGTAGTTCAACGTAGTTGGCTTTTTCTAAGTCATCCTTTACGTGGGACGTTTCCGTGTTCACTGGAAGCATCCCCTCCTCGCTGTCCAGCCTGGGTAGTGAGCAGGTGGTCGCACTCCGCTGTTGGGTCTGGCTCTCCGTGAGTCTGCCTCTGTCCTCGGTCATTTTGCAGAACGAAATGCTTTCTGGACCATCGGTTTGTGTTGCCTGTGTTTGGTCTCTCCGCACCAGCACCACTAAATAGAAGCTGACTGAATTTATTTCCTTCTCTTTCAAAGGAGAACCAGTGTTCTCTGGACATGAAAAGCAAATTGAATACAAGTAAGCAAGCAGAAAACGGACAACCGGAACCCCAAAATAAGGTTCCAGCTGAGGACCTTACATTGACATTCAGGTAAAGAATGGGACGTTTTCATAGTCATCTATTACCCAGTCGTGGCAGAAATACCCTTAGAAATACGATTTGGTGTTTCAAATATCATTATTCTGTGTATATTAAGGAAAGGATATTTTTACATAAATTTAGGAGTTATGAAACTTATGTTAGAACAGATCCAACGTTGAATTATCTGTTAAGACCTAAGAGAAATTTTCTGGTTACGTTTCTTTCTTCCTCTGTTTTTTACTTTATTTGAAACCAATATTTACATTTTGATGTATACCTTTCCAGTCTTTTTAAAGTGTGTGAGCACTGAACTTCTTTCAGAACCCCCCCCTGCCGCCCCCCATCACTCCATACCCCTGCTTTTAGTTTGGTCTTTTCCATACCATCTAGTGCTTCTTCTACAGGTGTGGGAGGACACCTGCCAGGTATCTGAGACTTTTCCATACGTAGTCCTGACTTACACTCCTGACAATAGGTAACAGTGACTGCTAATGCCCTGTTGCTTTTAGGCTTAGGGTTTGGCTGTTTAAATCTATGCATTGTTTGGGGTTCAAAAAGTGTCATATTAGTAAGGGATCAGCACTTTTTCTTCAAGGCAAGATTTAAATATTTAAAATGATGGGCTTTGCAGTCTCTGTCAAAACTCTCACTTCTGCCCTTGCAGGGTGAAAGCAGCCATGGGCAGTATGTAAACAACGGGCAGGCCCTCTTCCAGTAAAACTTTATTTATAAAAACTGGCAGCCGGCCAGCCTGAAAGTCTGAGAGCCATTCATAGCGTGTCCCTACTGCTAAAAGAACGGCCCGGTTGATTTTATTCTAAGTAATCATTTTTATCTCCTTTTTTGAAAACTCCAACTCCTTTTTTTTTTTCTAATGTGAACAGTGATGTACCCAATGGATCGGCCTTGACACAAGAGAGTATCGGCCTCCTGTCAAACCAGACCAGCTCTCTGAACCTGTCGGAGGACCCCGAGGGAGGAGGGGACAACAACGACTCCCAGAGGCCAGGGGTCGCGCCCAGCCCTGCTCCCTGAAGCAGGAAGAGCCGCACTCGCGCTTCTCCCGGAGGAAGAGCGCTTCTCCGGAAGGAGGACGAACCGCGACCCCTGCGCCCGCCCTCTGGGGCGGCCGGAGGCAGCGGCCGGCCGAGCACGGCAGCGGCGGCGAGGTGCACAGACCCCGCTGCTCCTGGCCGGCCCTGCACATCGCTCACACCAGTGCATTTTTTAATTTAAAAAAAGAAAAGAGAAAAAGAAAATTAGCAGTATCTGCAAGCAATTCAGATTAAATTTGTTTTTGTTCTGTGAATGAACTTTATTTTAATAACTTTGGACGCCTTGGATCCAGGGCTTTAAAAAAAAGAAGATATTATATATACACTCTGTTTGATTAATTGTATGATCTTAATGAAGTAGGCTTTTCTTGTATTTTGGTATTATTACATACCCAGTGTATAATTCCTGCCCTGCAGTCCTTCCCCAGTCTCACAACCCCGTAAGTTAAAGCAGACAAAAAGCCCCGGCCTTTCTGAGAAGTCTGTGGTGCTGGGCGGACGGACAGACAGCGGCAGACTGGCCGTTAGAAAATGTGCAGCACACCGGGTTTTCTGAGCGAGCTGCTCCTCGGGAGCCGCCACGGTCCCTCCCTCTCGGGGGCGCCCCTCCCGTGTCGTGGGCGTGTGTTCCCGTGTCCGTGAGACCGTGTCGTCGTCGTCGTTCCGGGGTGTTCCGGCAGTTCTTGTTTTTGTTTCTAACTTGTCAGATAATTACTGACTTTTGTGAGTCCTCATTTTCCATAGAACGGATCCTTTTCACTCTCTCGATGTGATCAGGCAGCCCAGCCAGTGCCGGTGTCTCCGATCGTTGGTCCGACTCCAGTGGAGACTCTTTAGAGATGAACCGTAACCGATCAGCCCTGAAAGTACATGCCCAGCGCGTCCCCTCTGTCGAGCTGATGGCTGGGACTGTTGATCTGTGCTTTTCCAAACTGGACTTTGGCTGAAATGATAGCATGTTAAAAATCCAGGACAGTCGGCACTTGATTGGAGCTTAACAGGAACAGAGCCGCATTATTTCACTGGATGCTTTTGCTTTACCCTCAAAACCCAAAAGCCTGAAATAGCATCTCTCTGTAGTGGCACCCCGGCTTTCAGAGAGATTTGCCTGGATCTTGAGGATAGTTTGTGAGCTGATCAGTCGTTGCTGTCCGGAATCATTAGCACAGGAAGGTAGTAAGTACCAAGAAGTCGGGGTCTAGAGACTTGGCTTTGCGGTATTGAAAAGGTTCTTCCTGACGGTGTTGAAAAGAATGCAGAAGAACTTCCGTTGTTTGGCTCCACTGCACATATTCTGACGGCACGTCTGTGCTGAGCTGAGGCCCTGCCCGACCTGCTCGGTGGGGACCCCTCGCTGTGGTTACCCTCCCACCCCTCTGTGTGCCCGAGGTTTTCCGATTCCCCTTTCTGGGTTAACTACTAAAACAGAAAGCACTGGTTATGTAATAAGTTACTGCATTGCTTTGGTTGGGTAAAAGCAAGAGTTTGTACTTTTCTTGTTTCTTATTTTCTTAACCCTCAACTCTTGCTGAGGTCCTCACCACCTCAGTCTAAGCTCTGTGTCCATCATACTGTTCACCGAAACAGCCCGGGGCGGGGGGGCGGGGGGGACAGTCCTGCCATTGCCTACCAGTAGGAGAGTCCAAACCGAACACTCTTTTGAGTAGCGATTATTTAATTTGCCCAGTCAAGGCACCGCGTTTATATACTATTTCACATTGAATTTGATTATGCCCTGCAGACCTGGCTGGTCAAGGATTTGATATACACATATTGGCTTGGGATTCGAGCTTTCTTTTTTATTTAAATAAAAATTTATATATATTATATATATACACATATACATAGCTATATCTGTATATATATTGGGTATGTTTTAAGGATTTTTTCGCATGAGCGCAGCTGTTGCGATAAAATGATTGGGAGGTAGAAGCACTGAATAAAGATGAGGCATTTTTCTTTGGAAATCATATTTTCCTGCTTTGTCAATACACTTGCTTTTTTGTTTCTGTTTGTTTTGCTTAAAACCCTTTTATATTGACTCTTTAAGTGCTTATTGTGTGTTTTTTGGGGGGGAGAAGGAGCGGGGCAGAGGTGTGTCCAACAGAGAGTCCCAGGAGTCTCCATCCCTCCGTGCCACGGGGGGGCCACGCCCCCGGCCCCAGCCTTGTGCGGGCGGAGTCGGCTCCTTTCTCCTCTGGACGGGTCGGGCGATTCCAGACTTTCAGAAGCAGTCGGTTCCCTTTGGAACCCAAAATGATTCCAGTATTGGAAGGAAGCTTATGGGCATTGATTTTGTTCAAGTTCAGAATAAAAAAGTAAAATCCCATTTGCGTACATCTAGCAGCCCCTAATAACTTCCGTTGTCCTCATTTCCTTCGGACGCTGTGGCTCCCGCTCCCGCTCCCACTCTCACCGTCCGGATCTCCCAGGCTCGTCAGGAGCAGGGATGAACTTCCACAGTATTCCCATTCTGGGTAAACCAGGAAAGCCGCTGTTTGCAGCTGACTGAAACTCGGTTCTCTCACCCTGTAAGGTATTTCCATCTGAGGGGAGGGAGACCCCCCAAGTGGAAGCCTTAACTCGCGCTGTACCTCTCTGAGGCCCCACCCTTGCAAGGAGAGCTGGCTGTGTCGGCGGGCAGGGAACGGCGTTCCCACCCACTTCGTGCCTGCAGTGCACGGCTGCCCCACACCGGTCATTCCGCCTCCCCTCCAGGGTATTCTTGCAGCTAGCTGGCCCAGGGCTCCGAGCAGTTTTAGGGACTCAGTGTAGCCTCCGAAGTTTACGGCTTTTTCCCTTTTCCTTTCCTCTCTGATACGTTTTCGGAGTTGATGAGCCTCTGGCAGGAGGTGGCCCGTTGTGGCCAAACTGCTTGGCCTTCTAACTGCTCTTTTGTCAAAGTCTGTGAAAGGCATTGATTTGTTTGGCTTTTAAAAGGTATGCCTTTAGAAAGAGTTAAGAGATTAAACCAGTCAGATAGAAAATAGTTTTTACACTTTCTACTTATTAAAATATTCATTTCTTCTGAAGATAACTATTTCACTGAATTCAAAAGGAAGAACTTGGATGTCTCAGATGGACATGCGTGAACCTGAGGGGGTTCATGTAGGAATAATAAGCACTGTGTTCACTGTTGGACTAAAAACTGGCTTTTACCCTAGCGAGGAGTATAGAAGAACTTTGACTTACTCTTATTTCAAGGGGATTCGGGCAAAGTGTCGAAGAACCGAGACTAAGACATCTAGATTCAATTTCTGACTTAGGTGGAATTCTTTTTGCCTTCCTGGTAGTATTGTTACAAGGTGAGTCCCATGGCTTCCCTATCTTGGCTAATTTAGAGGCTAACCTGACCAAAGATCTATTCCTTATGACTTTTGTAATCAGAAGTTAGTTATAGCATAGGTTTCTACTAACATTATTCAAATAATAAGACACTATTTGTAATGCCAGCTACAAATATCCAGCTGCTCAGAACGCACACAAACTCATGTGGTGCAGCATTAGCGCAGCCGAGTCTCTCCTTCCACCCGTGTCCCTTCCCTTCTCCTCGTCGCTCCCTCCTGTTTATTCTTCTGCCTCAAAGGCAGAATTGATGCGATTCTCATTTGCTACTTGAATATATATATAACTTCATCAGGCTTCCCATCGGTCTTAGGGTTGGACCTCAAAGTGGTTTCTCTCTTTTTTGTTTTCTGGCCCTTCGCTATCTTGCAGACTCCCCTTCGTCTCCCCTCCCCCTGCCCTCCCCGATCTGCAACAGTGACAGTCTGCTGCCTCACGACAGAGCATTCAAATGAATTCGCTTAGCCAATGACTTCTGTGAAGTTGCTTTTTCTAATGGTGTTATTACTCAGTGATGCACAAATGTGGTATTTGCCCTACTGGTAGGCAAACAAAGGTCTGGTTCAGAATGGCAGCCTGCTGTTCGTCCGTGCGTCCGCCTGTCTGTCTGTCCGTCTTTACTGGAGAGCCAAAACTTGTGCTGGACTCTGTTTCGGTTTGGGGGAAATCGTAGCCATTTTGATTGTGAAACCACCAAGTGTTTGTGAGTGGATTGTACCGCCTAAGTAGATTTATCTCAAGTTAACTGGTCAAGTTGGCTGGCCTTATCCAATGTCAAAGTGCTGAACGTTCACCTGTTTCTCTTTCAGCAGGGACTGTCACCTTTCACCACACTGTGTGTAAGCCGCCCCTTCCTCCTCTTTTGGAGACTGTCTGTCACGGTAGCATCTTGCATGTTTTTGGTTTTTCACTTGTGCCCAAAGGACAATTAATTTCCTGTCGCCAAGGTCGAGTCGGGGGCCTGAGTCACAGAATTCGTGAGCGTGTGACTGGTAAGAAATAACTAACCACAGGCAACATTTGTCAGATTATATTCAGATTAGGAGGAAAATACTCTTTTTCACCAAGGAGTATTTGGTTGCTAGTACTTGTAAGCAAATGGTGGTGGATGGAGGTCTTACCGTCTTTCCTCCACATTCTTTTTGTTCGTCTTGAAGAATTGAGTAAGAACTCATATATAAAATCTATCTGTTAAAAGCACCTGGAATGATTTCTATTTCATGAAAAGGAAAAGCCCAGCTCAAGTACTTACTAGGAGAAATTAATAACCTGCCTGGAAATTAATTGCAGTGTTTCCTTAGATCTGTATCTTTCAAGAGTCCAATTTTGTTTCCTTTTAATTTGGTGTTCCATGGTCAAAGTGTCCTCTTCCCTGAGAAGTCTGCCTGTCCCCCGAGTCAAGAACGAGAGCTCTGAACTAACGCAGCACTTCCGGCGCTGGTGGCTGGACGTGCGGGCCGGCTGCCGCTGCTGTCAACCTTGCAGCCCCGAGTGCCCTTGGCCAGGCCACGCTCTTTCCACCTTGGGCAGCTGTGTTTTTTTTATATTTATGTGTTGCTTTAGCTCAGCTTTATGAAATTTTCCTGCTGAAATGACTTATTGGGAGTTGTAGGTGGATTGCAGTTAATATATTTTTTAATTCTTTCCAATTTTTTTTCTATTTATTGATTTTTAAAGACAGAAACACCAGTTTGTTGTTCCACCCATTTGTGTGTTCATTGGTTGACTCTTGTATGTGCCCTGGCCAGGGATCGAACCCTCAACCTTGACATACGGGGATGATTCTCTGACCAGCGGAGCCACCCAGCCAGGGCACTGTATTTTTTTTTTTTTTTCAATTCTGAATTCAACTGCTCTGAGCCACTTGAAAAAGAAAGATGTTTTTATCAAAAGGTACTGTTAATTATAA